GATAAACTGCCATGGAATTGAATAACTCAAGAAGTTTTTATCGCAATTATGGCTATATTTTTGTTAATCAAATGTTGTCCAGGATATTCTAGTCTTCGAATTGCTACAGACGAAACTCATCGTTGCTTGTACAACATTGTGTATGCGTAAATATCGTCAAAGTAAAATAAATATCATTCGTTTACAAATGATGGATACTTCGTGGTGTATGAGATCCCAGACCATTAAAAAGTTCATTTTCGCTAAAATGTGTTTTGTGTTTTATTTCATTATTGTTTATTTAGTATTCTATCTATTTTCTAGAAATCATAAGATAAACAGACGTGGGAAGGTAAACTGTTCAAAAGGATGTATCTATGTGTAGCAGCACTCCTTATATGATAAGGAGATTTAGTCACTAAGAAAACATATTTCATGATAGTTACAAATTATTTCATAGAACGGAATCACTCACAATCTGGTTGTTTTCTCTAGCATTTCTGGTTGAATAATTATCAAAACGCATACTGGGTAATTATTCTTATAGTTTCGAGAATCACTGAATAATAACACAAATTTTACGACGAGGAAAGCAAAGTGTTATGCTATCAACACTATTGAAAAATGATGTTAGGAATTCCGTCATTCTACTTATTGGTGAAAATTACGTAATCCAAGCATCAAATCACCATTAACGCTTTACTGACACTTTTTTTTAACGTATACGCACATAAAATACATACTCAAAGCACTTATTAAAGTGAAGTGAGGTTAAAACATATACAGGGTGACTTTGAAGTTGAGTCATTAATTTTCAGATAATGATTGTAGAAGGAAGATAAACCAAAATATGTGTGTAAAAATAAAAAAAAATGTTACCTTGTTTTATAAAGTATCCTCCCGACAAGTATTTCAGTGCGGACCTGTATTTGATCGTGCGGTCTTGGAGCACCGGCATGCCCTCCCCTGTGAGGTCTTAAGTCACCTGATTCACGAGCCCTTTGTACTACATTAACAAAGGCACGAGGGGTTGGTTGAACTCGATTGGGAAACCGATCCGCATAAATCCGTGATGCCGCGTAAATAAGAATCATGTCAAGTTCAGCATTTTTGTAAACATGTGCCATTTTTGATTTCGTTTGAGCCACGCAACAGACACCACTATTCACTCACGCGTAACCGACTGACACTGACTGTATACAACTGAATAAAATAATTGTAAAAACATCGTTCTAAATTCTTTCGCTTTTTTGTTTCCGATGCGATGAACCGATAAGGCGGATTATATCCGTTGTTGCCAAACACGAGCACATAATATTATTATTGAGACAGGGCGGTACTCAAACTTCCAAAGGGCTATAACTTTGTTACTTTAATTTTACCAGAAAAATGGTAAAGGAAAAAAACATTTCTTTTGATCAGATCTACTCACTGTTAAAATAAATGACTCAACTTCGAAGTCACCCTGTATGTAGAAGTGGCGATATCGACATTCACTGATTTTGGATAGCAAAGTCAACCTTCTCAGTTAGCAAGTAAGCAATAAGCAATACTAACCTCCTGCAATGAATTGGGCTTCTTGGTGGTAAGGTTGAGATACCTCTCTTGGTTCTGACAAAACTTCGCCGTTTGCTTCTCGAATTTCTTTTTCTCACTCTTCGCGCCACCTATGTGCTTCTTCCTGAACTCCTCCAGAGGTTTAACAACCGCGGAATGCGCGTTCTCCAACTGCAAAGAAAAACAGTATAAGTAAAATTACATCATGCAAATGGATTCCAGATTAGAAAAGTACACGATGGAGTCATCTTATATGGTGCTCTAAGGGAGCAAACTGTGGATGTTGATGGATGCTATTATTCACGGCGTGATGGCCAGATTGGTGTACCTCAGGGTTCGATCCTAGGCCCATTACTATCTTTACTATTTGTCAACGACTTGACAGTACTTGGTAATATAACAGATGAGTTGACGATAACTCGTTCCACCTCAATCAATGAGAGCCACTTAGTCAAGCTCAATGGCAAGTCGTTGGTTTAAGTAGCAAACACGAAATTTCTAGGAATTCATCTTGATGAAGCTTTTCAGTGGGAGCACCACATACGCAAACTATGTGAAATATTGTCATCTGTTTCTTTTGAAATCTGGAGGCTCCAACAAGTATGTCCAGAGACACTTATAATTTCATATTGTCATGCACAGTATGCTTCTAGAGAAATATATGGCATTATTTTTTGGAGTGCATCAAGCGATAACCTCATATTGCAGAAAAGGGCATTGAGAACCAAGTGTCATTGAATACAAATTGGACCCCCTCCTAGAATTTAAAAAATAAAATCCCATCAAAACAGTTTATCCTATTGGCAGGTCATCAGCTTTTGTAGTATGTCTTCATGGATTAATTTTAGCATTTGTTGCGGTGTTTGAAATAACTTTATCTCTACTAGTAGACTATCGCTGGTTAGGGACATAAGAATATGTGGCACAATACAGAGTTAGTACTAGATCTTGACTGATATAAAAGACATACAAGTTTCAATACATACTTGACCTTTACCAAGAAAGCTATCCGAATCCTTTTGACAAGGGAAAGCTTTTATAGATACTGTCAGGCAGAAAAGATTCTTTCTATTAGCCGACTTATTAAAACTATTGGGGATCCGATATAGCATAAATGCATCCAGCTATAAGAGTTGCAACTACTACTGGTGAGAATTAGGTTTTATCCATGATTTTACCTGCGTTGTGTGATCTATAGCCATTTTTATAGGAGGTAGTTGAAAAGGCAGCTCACATATAACTCATGCATTACGCAGAGGAACGCAGTACCCTATCTAATCAGTCTGTTTTTAGCAAATCTGTCAGTCCTAGAACTTTCCTCCTAAACATAGCTGATAATATTAGTAGAGCATTTCATAAAAAATGGGCGCACTCCAAGTCATTTGACAAAATAAATCACGAGTTGTTAACAGCGAAGTTAAAATAATATGGTATAGATCCAATTGCATTGAACTGTTTTTGTAATTATATAACAAATCGTTCGCAGCGTGTACCAATTGATAACAACAAATCTAGTTTTCTAGAAATCTCAGGGGTCTGTCCTGTGTCCTTTGTTGCTTTTCATATATGTTGTGAATCTACATAAGACTCTGAGTTTCTGTGAACTCCAGTCGTTCGCGGATGATACTCAAATAATAATAAGTTTATTCAGGTAATATACAAATATAACTAAAACTTCGGTATACGTAAATTAACTGAATTTACCCACAGAAGAATAAATTCTTGTGCGTGGGTATTAACTTACATTTTACAAAAATACACACACACACACACACACACACACACACACACACACACACACACACACACACACACACACACACACACACACACACACACACACACACACATATATATATATATATATATATATACACACATATATATGAACGTTGGGGGCTTTTTATTAGTACATTAATTTAATATTTCTTTCATACGTATCATGTCTGCAATTTGATGTAGATTTTTTCAATGATAAATTTTTTGGCTTCAATGATGAATTTTGTTTTATTTGAAATATATAGTTTCTTATATAATTTGGTAATATGTTATAAAATCTACTGCAAAGGTAAGTATGACATCTTTGACCTATACTTTTTGAGGTGACAGGTGTTCGCTTAATGTTGTTGATTTTGTTTCTAGTTTGATATAAGTGATCTAATGGAACAAGATTATTTCTATGGTGAAATTGATAATTTATAATTTTATAAAAAAATTGTTGCCTAAGGTCCAATAGTTTTGCTTCAGAATACAACAGATCAGATGGGTAAAAGAGTGGCTTGTCAAAGATTATTGTTTTGGGATATTTTCTAATTTATTAATTTTGGTTATTAATGTAATTAACCTAATGCTGCGTAACTTATACGACTCTCGATCATAGCATGACATAAAATTTTCATTGTTTTTTTATCCCAATATTTGTTTAGATAGATGAATTTAAACAATAATGGTCTCAAATTGGTTATTACATGATCAATATGTATATTCCACTTTAAATGTGAGTCTAAATATACGAGTACAACTAAATATTTTATTTTGTTTGTTATATTTATTTGAGTATTTACATTAATCACAGTTAATTTGTATAGATACAAAGGATGGTAATTTGTTTTTGTGATATCTGATTGTTAAGTCTCTTGCAACCTTCACTTTTAGATCATCCCACGAGTTGTTATAGGAATAAAAATAATAGCAGTATCGTCTGCAAAACATATGATTGTCCCTTCAGATTCTAAGCTCAGCAGGCTATTAATGTAAAGTGTAAATAATAAGGGGCCTAACACTGTCCCTTGTGGAACACCATACGTTATCAATTTGTTTGTGCTTAAGGAATTATTTATTTGTACGCACTGTGTTCTGCTGGAAAGGTAACTTTTCATGAGGTTATAAGCCTTCCCTCTAATTCCTGAGTCGTGTAAGATTTCTAATAGTAGCAAGTGGTGAATCATGATGTTCAAAAAGAGAAGAAACTGGAATCAAAAGCATGTCCTTAAATTGCTTCAAGAAAGCTGTTTAATCTCAAATCAGCTTGGATCCATAGATTGAATATGTTGCTCTTGTCTTTGTTGTTCAATTTTTCCTTAACTTTGTATATACATAGTAAACTTTTACGTAAAGTATTTATTTTTTTTATTTTTGATATTTGCTATCTAACAACGTTTCCTTTTTGCGTGGATGGTTAAGTGTAAAAATGCGTGTTGCTAAATTTCGCCTCAATGTCAAACTAATTTTTTTACAATTCCAATAAAGACGATTACTGTTATTATTACTATTATTATATTTAACTTATTGACCATACTTGAGGTATGATTCCTCTTTCAAATGAACAAGCTCGAGCGATGAGTAATTTGCTCCTCTGAGGCTTGTCAGGCTTCTGTGTCTCATTATATTAGTATCGAGAATATAAAACAGTTTACTAGAAAAGGCTTCCTCCTGTGATTACCCTGTGTAATTTACATCAGTCAGGAATGACAACCATCTGATAAACAACCATAACCAAATAAAATTTCCAAAATTCTAGTCTAACAGTGTTCAAATAAACCGTTATGTCCAAATGGGAAATAAAGCCCATAACTCAGCCATTAGACGTCGGTACCAGAATCCACTGGGACAAATGCAACCAAAGCGCCATATTTGTTGACGTGCCTAACGGCACCGTTCATTCCTTCAAACTCTCCTCTTGCAAAGTGACCACTGCAAAAGTTGGAGACGATCCAATAGCCTTCATGTTCCCTGTGGAAGGATCGGGAACGAAATTCGTAGCTGGATTGGGAAAAAAGTTTGTGTTTGTCGAGTGGGATAGCGTAAGCCCGCAGGTAGCCAGTGTGGATACCATCGTGGAAGTTGAAACGGAACCGGAGTATGAAGGTAATCGATTGAATGGCGGGAAAGTGGATCCGTGGGGAAGGCTCTGGGCAGGTGAGTTTGTTTAAGATGTATTTAGCATTGTTGCTATCATTACATTTCTTTTAAATAACTACAACAATTCAGAAAAACAAATCGGGTTTTCACTATCCATGAAATGTTCCTTTAATTTTCTTTTGAACATACTTGAATTATAGTACAAGCGTACTTTATATCTTATTTGATTTACCAAATTCAAGTAATCCCTGCTGAAATATTGATTTGCTAGTTATATTATTATTAGAACTTTTTAAATGGCAATTCACGCAACCTTCCTCAGAAATGGTCCAGGGCAGTGTCATTTATTAGGCATCGAACATTTTAATTATGTTCCAGAGCGATGGGGTATTGAAGATTAAAAAAAAACGAATTTCAAAGAGATACTTTATCTATCTTTTACGGGCCGTTAATATCATCCCTACTAATATTATAAATGTGAAAGTATGTATGTATGTTTGTATGTTCCTTTTTCATACCAAAACGCCTGAAACGATTTTGATGAATTGTAGCATATACCTATATACAGGGTGTTTCAGTTTATTGTTGCATAACTTTAAGATTCGATAGAACTTTTAAAATTAATGCATAAAGTCTATATAAACATGGGTCGAAAAATGCGTGGCTTCCGAAATACAGGGCGTTTAAATTTACTTTCTAAAATAGTTTTTTTTAAATATTTCGAACAATATTTGATGTATAACAGTGAAAATTGGTATACAAGGGTTTTCTTGTACGACAAAACGAACCATGGGCATAGTTTTACTGTAGCCGCTAGAGGGCGCTCTCTACTGTACCTGTAGTGTATTAAAATGACCGAAAAATTTTTCCTAGTGCAATTTTTTGCTTTTTGAATGAAAAAACTAATTCTTCGCACTTTTCAACATAAAAAAACTCTCTTGTGAATTTTCGTTATAGTTAGCCGTTTTTGAGATATTTCGATTTTTAAGGTTCGATGCATTTTTAATTATTTATGATAAAATAACGTTAAAAAGTCAGTACCTCGATAATTTTTAGAAGTAGGCTGTGCCTGCAAATATTTTTGAAATTGAAAGCAGAATAAGGTTAAACGTCAATTAGTTGACAGTTAGTTTTGTTGTCTGTTGAAACCTGAAACGCTTTTTTGCAATTGTGAATGCACGAAATTTAGTTTCTTTTACCTGTTTTTTTTGTAAGTTTTATAAAAATGCCATTTTTTTCTCCAATCAAGAGTTAGCGGATATTCATTTTGTGTATGGCTTTGTAAATGGAAACGCAGCAGAAGCAGCCACAGAATACGCACGAAGATTTCCAAACAGACGACATCCATCTCGCTCAGTATTTGTACGAGTGCATCGCCAAATAATTGAAAATGGTTTTGGAAATCTTGAAAGGGATCAAAACGATGTTCGTCAGCGCAGATTTACCCGTATGATTCTGCGTGAGTTTGATAGAGATCCGACCACAAGTGTTAGGAGAGTTTCTGGTGCCTTAGGAATTTCAGCAAGCCATGTTCACCGTGTTCTTAGAAATGACAATAGACGTCCTTACCATTTGCAACCAGGGGACGGAGAACGAAGAGTCACATTTTGTCAGTGGATTCTTGATAGAACTGATAATAATATGGAGTTTTTAAGTAACGTTTTATGTACCGATGAGTCATGCTTCACTAGACCTGGAGTGGTAAATTTTCATAATCAACAAATTTGGTCGCATGAAAATCCGCATGCAGTTCGGGAAAGAAATTTTCAGCATGAATTTAGTGTGAACGGGTGGATTGGTATCTACCGTAATCAACTATTTGGACCCTACCTTTTGCCTGCAAGGTTAAATGCTGCGACCTTCTTGGAATTTTTAAAGGCTGAACATGCAAATATGTGGGATGGTGTTATGTTAGATTTAAGAAGATTGGCCTGGTTCCAGCTTGATGGTTGTTCAGCTCATTATTCGAGAATAGTTAGAAACTGGCTGGACGAAAATTATCCAGAAAGATGGATCGGCCATGGAGGACCAGTCGCCTGGCCTCCACGATCCCCTGACCCAAATCCATTAGATTTCTTTGTGTGGGGATTTCTAAAAGAAAAAGTGTACCAGACTCCCGTAACCACAAGAGATATGCTAATAGACAAAATCAGGAATGCATGTGATGAAATAAGGCCTTATTTGAATAATGCTATACCACGTTCGATCATTCGTAGATGTGAATTGTGTATTGAACAATTGCGTTTACATTTCGAGCAACTACTGTAAATTTTGTATGTTTGTCCTAACTATCCAATATCATTTTAGTTGTAAATAATTAATTTAATTTGTTAAAAATAATATTGGAAAATTAAACAAATTAATATTCTGTTTTTTTTTGTGTTTATTTGGAGTTAGGAATTATTGCTGTGTTTAAAAACACAATCTAAACGATCATCTTAATTACTTGTAATGCCCAAATCGAAAATGTAAAAAAAATATTATTTTCCCATAAATAATTAAAAATGCATCGAACCTTAAAAATCGGCTAACTATAATAAAATATATAAAACTCACAAAAGAGCTTTTTTATGTTGAAAAGTGCGAAGAATCATTTTTTTTATTCAAAAATCAAAAAATTGCACTAAGAAAAAGTTTTCGGTCATTTTACTACAGGTACAGTAGAGAGCGCCGTCTAGCGGCTACAGTAAAACTATGCCATGGTTCGTTTTGTCGTACCAAAAAACCCTTGTATACCAATTTTCACTGTTATCCATCAAATATTGTTCGAAATATTTAAAAAAAACTATTTTAGAAAGTAAATTTAAACACCCTGTATTTCGGAAGCCACGCATTTTTCGACCCATGTTTATATAGACTTTATGCATTAATTTTTAAAGTTCTATCGAATCTTAAAGTTATGTAACAATAAACTGAAACACCTTGTAGATTAGACCTTGGAGACGGACATAGGCTACCTTCTGTTGTGAAAAATCAGACTTGCAGAGGTTGAAATAAGGGGTAAGAGCTGCTATGGGAAACTATTTTTTTTAAGTTAGGTATACCGATATGGGTTTCAGATGCTCGGTTTCGTGCAGATGGGAACATACAAAGAAATTTTGTAAATTCCGCTCTCTCAGGGAGTAAAGCGGGAATTCGCAAGTTTTTTAGAGAATTTAGAATATTTCAATTTCATTATTTTGAAGATAATTATTATTAACAAAGAGTTTCAGAAATTAAATCCTCAACATGAGGAGGGGGTTGAATATTTCTTTGGAAAACCTCATTACTTTTCAAGTTTATAGAAACTTACTGAACACTATTAGACTTATGAACTTAGGACAGGGCTGGATCAAGGACGGTTGTGAGAAGATATGTATAAATGCGAAAAGATTCACGTTCATTAGTCACAAAATCTCGAAAACTGTTTAATCTTTGAACATTAAATTTAGTAGTTTATGAAAAAGCATATCAGCTAAGAACATATTTTAAACCTGGGCCGGAACAAGGGGGCTAGGGCAGACATATATAAACGAGAAGTGATACACAATCAGGAAATATCTCGAAAACTAAATTTGATCTATGAACATGACATTTGGTAGCGAGGAAGTGTAATGACAGCACATGTTAGTAAATAATATATTACACAATACCAGGAATAGAAATATCAAACTACTTCTGTGCAAAAATCGGTTACCCAAAAGTTGACGTTAGATTTTGCACAAAAAATGACAAATGCCGACCAATCTTTTTTCGTATTTTTGCCTTTGTCATATTATTTCTTTTAGTATGATACCTACTTTAGTAAATTTTAGTTCATGATGTAGATGACTAAAAGGGCTGTCAAGAGAGGAGAAAGAAAATTAGATTCAGAAGAACCCAAATAATAAGTTTTCCAAATAGCCTTTTTATAATTTCACGTTTAAACAAGAAAAATACAGATAATTTTGCATAAGGTGTCTATTTCTTAAATTAATTTTAAATATTTTTACAACCCTGAACTATTTGTTATCTAAATGTGGCATAAAATCTACTACAGTTGGTTCCCTACTATTCAAAAACAGTTACAAATCGTATCGCAAAGACAAACATACGAGAAAAAATGTTATAATTTATTGGCCTGCAATTGTTATTTTTTACGTAAAGTTTGCAGTATTTCAAAAACTTAGGCATGTGATGAACATGAAATGTTTTCCGAATCTCGAATAGAATCAAACAAGTAAATAATATATAGGGTATTCTATTCAAAATATGAAAAATTGTATCCACTTCCGGACGAACCATTTTGAACATATTTTAGCTAAGTTAATATCAATACTGAAAAAAGTCATAACAATGCAAAAAGCAACTTCATGAAAATAAGAATGACATCCGATTTATAAAAAAATAAGATCAACTACAAAATTAACTTGTTTCAACACAGTTTACTGGGAAAAGTATTTGCAACTAAAATTGGGACCGGTACTTTAAGCAGGTCAATAGATCATTGTATTTTTCGGAAGTGAGAAATTCTAAATCCATGGTTCCTTATTTTTTTTGTCACATTAGCGTGATCGACAGACAAGGAAAAGCATAACAATGACAATGAACTTTCGTTAGTTGACCCAGTTTTTGGAAAAAATACTAACTTTACTTCTTTCCATTCCGATAGGCTTAAGGATATATTTTCTAGGAGCTACTTAATTTTTTGACTGTAGATGTACGTGGTAAAACTTTCCATCTTACAATTGAAAAAGTTCTACATGAGGTTGAAATATCTGGACTTTTTGTAGTGTGACCCCTATCGTTATTTTGCAGGTACAATGGGACCCCCAGGTCCAGATGGCAACATTATGCCTCGCAGAGGAGCTCTCTACTGCTTAGCAAATGGTCAGCTGCAGAAACACGAATGCAATATAGGCATTTCCAATGGCCTAGCTTGGAATACGGAATTGAAGAAAATGTATTACATTGACACTCTGGAACCGTGCGTTTTCCAATATGACATTGCTGACGACGCAAGGATCAGCAACAAGACTGTCGTGTTTGATTTTAAGAAAAACCATATTGAAGGATTGCCAGATGGGTTTGTAGTGATGATGCTTTTTAAAAATTTTTACACTACAACAAAGCTCAAATGATGGAGTTCCACACCTCTTACAAGCATGTTAAAAGAGAGTGGATCGCAGATGAATTTGGTACAGTCGTTTTATGTGTGTAAAACAATACGTTTGCAAATATTCTCAAATCAACGAGCATAGATACTCTTGTTTCCAAACTCCATGGGCTTGATTCTAATTGAACTTTGACACTGTCAGGATAAGTGGTCTATAAACGTTCGCTAGAATCCGGTGTCAAAACACTATTGCCGAACTTACCGATCTTTCGGTATTTCTATAGAGATGAAACCTTATTTACCGAAATACCGAAAACGTCCTCATTTGCTGCGATTTTTTAAGCTAATTCAAATATTTCCAGATTTTTTACCAAAAAAGAACTAGAACGTATACTTTATCTGAAGTCACTTGAAATAGCATAAAAACCTTTGGTCGGCGCGTCCTTTGTAATTTCATGACGTATCATAGGCGTGCGGTCATTTATTTAGATAATATATAATAATAATAATGTTTTTATATCACAATAAATGGATTTTACTATCTTCTTATTTTTTTGATTTGGGATAAAAAATACTTATATTGCGAGTTTAATTTATGTTGACTGAAAGTTAAGAAATGGAAAAATTACAGAATTCCAACGTTTGACATAGACAAATATTTACATAGCAGGTAGGTATATAAAAAGGTATATAAAGACTTACATTATAGGTATTTATATATCATCCTCGCCTTCGGAGCTGTCGCTAGAGTCATCTTGTAGAGGAATTACAACGGGATTTACAGGAGGCAAAACACAATATTCATTTTCTTTTTCAATAATATGCCTAGAACACTGCTTCCATAGGTCTGTGGCAGCAATATGAGATACTGCATCTCTTATTGTGGCCAATAGCGATTCACTTAATTGAGGGGTCTGATTATGTTTTCTTACTTTTTTTTTAAAGCAGCCCAGACCAACTCAATCGGGTTAAAAATGCAGTAATAGGGAGGTAGACGTAATACTTCATGGCCATTTTGCTGAAGCAGATTGTCAACAACATACCCTTTTTCAAATTTTTGTCTTTTAATAAGATCCAATAATGCTTTGGTTGATTTTTGTGGTATTTCCATTCCCTTATCCTTCATAAAATCAATAATGTCTTGTTTTTTTGTGCCTGTATTCGGAATTTTGTTTTTCTGTCGGGAATGGTATGGCGCATTGTCCATAATAATCACTGAATTTGGGGAAATGTTTGGTATTAACTGCTGCTCTATCCACTTTTCAAATAAGTCGGAGGTCATGTCCTCATGATAGTCGGCACATGATTCTTTGATATTTTTGGCAGATAACAGCAAGGCATTAGGTATAAATCCATTTTCACTGCCAGCATGGAGAATAATGATTCGTTTTCCACGGTTGCATGGTGCATTTAAAATGCACTTGTTGCTGTCGTCAACCCAGCCGTACTGCACAACATCATACCACGTTTCATCCAGGTAAATCAGATTTCTTTTCTGCTCTCTATAGATTTTAACTTTGTACAAAAATTCTTGGCGCAATTCAACGATTCGAGACGACTCCATAATCACCATTCTTTTATCTAATTTTTTGTATTGAAAACCACACAGTTTTACAATACAGTGCAGTGAGTCTAAGCATTTGTAATTATAAAAATCTTCAGGATAATCTTTTAATTTATCCCGTATCATTTCCAACATGGGCACCAAATTTTCTTTATAAAATCCGTATATTATACGACGAATATCTTCCTGAAAACCCACGTCTATTCTTTTTAATTTTTGCCCTATGCGCTTTCTGTGGAAGGAACGGTTGACTACATCTCCCCTTTTTATAACCCGATAAATGGTAGACCGACTGATTTTTGTCAGGATACAAATTCTGTTTAAAATTTGATTTTGCGAGGAATCTGGATTTTCGTTTTTCAGACAATCATACATATTTAGGATTACTCTTTGGGTCTGTTCCTCTAAATCTTTATGAAAGAATTCTGCCTGCACAGGTTGATCAACCATCTCCTCGTGGCTTGGAGCATTTTCCCAAGGTCTCCAAAGAGCCATATTTAGGACACACAAGAACAATCAACACAACAATTAAATCAACAAGTAAACTGAGTATTCAAAAGTCAAAAACACACAAACTAATAAAATCTATGAAAAACACGGACAGACTAAAGAAAACACGTTTATTCACCGCTACACGGCACTGGCTGAACTGTTTCAATTTTCAGTAGCCACCTGCACTTGTTCGGAGCTCTGAAATACACGCTTTCTCATTGGCTATGTCCACGCATAGGCGTGCTTTACTCCACGTGGACCGGTGAAACTGCCTTTGATCTTATACGGGGGATATTTGCTGCGAAATTTGGCGATTTTTGCAGCAACAGAGCGTGTTAAATATAGATATATAAAACGCACCCGGTATTTCACAGTGTTTCAAGTGACTTCAGATAAAGTATACTTTTTTGTCTTATACCAATTTTGTCCTTGAATCTAACGAATTTCAACGACATGATCTACATATTTCGTCCTTTTCGGTTCAGCAACACTATTTTGAAATTATCACAGCTCTTTATATGTATGACGGGAACGCGACATCGAAATTAATTTCAACAGTCGAAATTCGTTTAAAATCAGGCTCCAGATACTTAAAATGTCACGAATAGACGAATGTTATGAGAAAGTAAATAAACTCCAAGCGTGCCAAGCACGAACCCCGAAAAATCAAAACTACCTTTTTTACTACTAACATTGGTATGTTGCTGAAAGTACATACAATTGGGTGATGAAATAGGTTACCTATTATGCTATCTATCAAACCTTTAGGTCCATGAACACGTTTGTTCTACATTTGTGATAAACAACACGCCAAGTGAGAAGAACAACCAAATGTCGGGCCCGGTTTCATTATTAAAAACCAAAATCCAACAACTTCCCAAAGATGGGCAAATGTAGATATGGCTCTAGGGCTGCTCCCAAAACCTTATTTTTAGAATACGTATATATTTTTTTTATTATATTTGTTTCTTTCAGTCGGGATATATGATGTTCCATACTTAAATGGGCATAGTGAGATCGTAGGTAGTATAGATGACTTAGACCTTTTCATATCCGAAAATAAAAAAAAGTTCTAAATTCAGTTCTAACGGAATGTTTTATTTCAATATTTCTACACTCCAAATCTTTAATATCACATATATCTCAGACACTATTAAATCGATTTTTGTAAATTTTGCAAAGTAACACAGGAATATCGTGAAATTAAACAGGCGGTTAAAAAATCCAGTATCGGATTCGATTTTTTCCACCCTTTTATTTTTTAGCAAAATTCAGAACATTTTGAGCTGAGTATTTGAAACGTTTGACTATGTATAAAAAACCACTGAATGATATTAATTATTTAGCAAAATATTTTGATTGCGCTCCTTTTGTTTTTTAAGTTAAATATTTTTGTTTTTCAAAATATTTTTAGCACACAAAGCTCAGAATCTTGAAGGTTATCAACTTAATTTTGTCAACATCTTACAAAATGATACTTGAAATTAAACTATAGATGTCTTGGGAACTCAACATTTCAAGGTCGGATTCAGTTTTTTTTAATCTCCTTGTATTTTACCAAGAGCAGCGCCCAGTAATTTAGTAATTTTTCAATATATTATTATTATGTTATACATGTTGTTACATTAGTCCTGCTTTAAAGAGAAACGGGATTTAGGATGAAATGCACTAAATTTGACTCTAAAGAAAAAATCGAATTCATGTTAAAAATGTAGAAAATCTAAAATACAGGTTCGGACTCTTTTAGCATGTCAAGTCCGGACCTGCATTTTTGTGGATTTTCAACATACCTTCAAGGTGGTCTGGAATGTCAAATTTAATGGAATTGTGTATTGAATGCCGTTTCCATTTTAAACAGATCTCATGTTCTACAATATCAGTTGATAGAATTAAATCATTAAAAAATTTACCGAAAAAGCTAAGTAGAAAGCATAGCATTAATTTCACATTTTATTCATATAATATGTTGCTCTCTTTTCATCGAGATAATAATAAACTCAAGATAACTTATAGAGCGTTGTATTTATTGGAATAAAAAGAAATAAAAAAATTAATCCTACGTCGGAATTTCAAGTTCCCAAAACACCTTCAGTTCAATTCTGAGCGTTATTTTGTGAAATTTGGACGAAATCAAGTTGGTAACGCTTAAAATTTTGAGTTATGTGTCAGGTAAATTAAAAAAATTAAATATTTGAATAAAAAAATGTTTAAAAAAAAGCCAGCGCAGCCAATTTATTTAGCAACATTAAGTGTTTTGATTCTCAGATTGAAAAACATTTAATTGGCCGGCTTAAAAGGTGCCAATTTTGATATAACACAAAGAAGTTAAAAAAATTGAGTCCGGCCCTGAAAATTTCAACAAAATCGGTTCACTAGTGCCTAAGATATGTGATACGATGTGTCGTGCCTAGATAAATCAACCCTGTTTATCCGTAAAAACTAATATTCAAAACTTTTTTATTTTAGTTTTTATTTCCTACTATACTAAGTGACATATAAATCCGAACACCCAGTTTAAATCGTTTTATTTTAATAAATGTTGGTGAATGTATTTATCTTACTGTAAATAACAAGTGAAAAAATGTTCAGCCTTATCAGTTGGACATTCCGGTCTTTATACTGCTTTTTTTTAATTCACTAACGCTCTAAAAATGAATATTTCAGCCGCAGTAAAGAATCAACATTGGCGGATTTTGGAATTCTTGACATCCTTTACGATCGGTTACGATGCCTAGAGTACGGAGACCTGTACGATTTCGTCAACTTAGTGAGTTTGATAGGGGCCGTATAGTGGGACTTCGGGTAGCTGGACTTTCTTTTCGGGCAATTGCAGTTAGAGTGCAAAGAAGTGTAGACACTGTGGTTAGGTGTTGTCAGGCATGGCTTCGAGAAGGCCGTACGCAAAGAGCAAGGGGCACTGGACGCCGCCGTAGAACAACAGACCGTGAAGATCGCCGCCTAAGATTATTGGCCTTAAGGGACCGTTTCTCCACTACCAGGTCCATTGCAAATGAATGGTTTGCAGAACACGGAAGTGTTTACCGACGAATGAGAAGCTTTGGCTTGTTTTCATACCGGCCACACTGGGTCCTCCCTTTAACTCGAGAACACCGACGTAATCGCCTTGAGTGGTGCAGACAACGGTCACTCTGGGATAAGGAATGGAACAGTATTGTCTTTAGTGACGAGTCTCGATTTTGTTTAGACATGCACGATGGTCGTGCCAGGGTTAGAAGGCGACGTGGTGAAAGGAGGAATCCACAGTTTTTTGTTGAAAGAAATGTTCATCACACTGTTGGAGTTATGGTTTGGGGTACTATAGCTTATGGTTCCAGGTCACCTTTAATCTTCATCAGAGGTAACATGAACGCGCAGCGTTATATCCACGAAGTTCTAGAACCCCATCTTTTACCCTATCTTGACACCCTGGCAGATCCAACTTTCCAACAAGATAATGCCCGACCACATGTTGCAAGAGTCACAATAGACTTCTTTCAACATAATGATGTCACATTGTTACCATGGCCACCAAGATCTCCCGACTTATCCCCAATTGAGCACGTGTGGGATATGATGGGTAGGAGATTGCTCAATTTGCAACGTCCTCTTCAGACTCTAGAAGCACTTCGAGAGGAGTTGGTGGTTGCCTGGAATGAGATACCACAGGAGGACATTGACCACCTGATCAGAAGCATGCCTAGGCGCGTTGGAGAATGCGTAGCACATCAGGGTGCATCCACACATTATTAAAGGTCAAAGGGCTTTAAAGCAGTGCAATCATTTTGAAATTTTTATCATTTACTTATTATGCTTCATTAAGTACTTATACAAAATTTTATTAAAATAAAACCATTTAAACTGGGTGTTCGGATTTATATGTCACTTAGTATATTTCTGCCATTTTACTACGAGTACGTCCGTTTAAGTGCGGAACACGCTGTATACTGATTATCAATGAAATGCGTTGCAGGTTGACCATCGACGTCGAAGGATGCTTGTGGGTGTGCGCAATCCATGGCTACCATTTGATACGGTTTGACCCAAAGTGCGGCCATATCCTGGACAAAATCGAATTGCCAACGCCTCAGATCACGGCTGTGTCTTTTGGAGGTCCAAATCTGGACTTGATGTTCGTGACAACCGCGAGGATCCCTATTAATGGGACTCCCCCACCTGATCCTGCAGGAACCACGTATCTCCTGTCCTGCCCTGATGCTGTACGTGGGTATCCAGGAGACAGCTACAAATTGTGATCAAGTTGTATAGGGCGTGAGATGATAAAACAATGTTGGTATGACTTAGCATCATTTGTAGATTCTGTCGCAATTAGTTAAAAGGGCATAAGTTAATTTTTACGACTTAATTACCATGGTGACTAGACCGATTTGATCCTAGCATGATTTTTTTATTTTACCGGCATTTTCTTCATCTACATATACAATTTTACTGAATTGTTCTTGGACACACTCTCAGCCAATATGTAAAATGTTATTCGTCGAAAAATTTACTGTCGCCCTTTTAACTATTTGCCGCAGATTTATTACTTCACGCAATAAAGTGGGATAGTACTACTAGAATATGACGTTGAATCGTTAGAGGTGATTGAACAGAAAATGAAATAGAAAAAAAACACGGTTGTGTATCGTAGGGAAATGTTGAAATGAGAATTAACAACTATGGACCTATCCAGGAACTGTTCTAAGCGCCACTGCCAAAATGCAACTCTTCTAGGATGATCTTCACGTTGTAACACGTTGATAATGATAAGGATAATATTGTTCTTGTCATATTGTCTTCCACCCTTTACTATGAGAAACTTCAACTTGAGTTGCTATGGCTCTAGTACTCCTGGGGCGTCTTCGAATACATCTAAAATGTCTTCCTCAATTTGTAACCTTTCAGGTTGAGCTGGTCTTCCAGCGTGACCTCCTCGTTGTTCTTTTAAATATCCTTTGTCAAGAAGTCTAAATTTACAAACATCCGTGGGGCCGGATAATTTTTTTTAGGAAGCCTTTCCTGCATGCTGTGGCTGCATTTTGTTGACACTCTCTGTACGTCAGTATTATGCCCACTAGTTCATTGTTTTCGTAAGCATGTGTCATTTTTTCGCACAAAATATACAACTGATCGAACCAAAGACTCGTACTGAAAACGATAAAGGAACACTAATAATTTGCCAAATTTAAATAAACGATAAGAGCAGTAAACAAAAAATGCTAAGATTTTACACGGCAGTGGTCGAGAATATCAAAAAATATGTGTAATAACATTCGTATTTTTTTAAATTTTCCATCTTTTACTATTTCTTTAATTATGCAACTTTTATACAGGGTGTCCGCAAAGTTGGGGTTTTCCTTTACACGGCGTGTAGATCTTGAAAACATAAGCAATTTTTCTTAGTACCATATACACCAATGTCTTAACGGAACCGAGATAAAGGGCTCTGCAACATCAAAAATATCTGAATACCGTCCTGTAGCCGCGACATCACGGAGTGGTACAATGTCACTGACTCAACGACAGAACTGGGTCGGGGGTCGGGGTCAGTGTGTCAGGTCAGTATGCAACCTTCAACCGACGGTTACGGTCACGCGCGGTAATCGCGTAGACGAGAATCCCTCAACAAGCACTAGAGACGTGGCTAGAGAAGTGCAAGTATAAAAAACTAAAGTGTGGCAAACGCTGCGTGAAGAGGGGCTGTATCCGTTTCACGTCCAACGTGTACAAGCCCTTCAACCTGACGATTTTCCAGCAAGAGTGCGGCTTTGTGAGTGGTTGTTGCATCAACATGACAATAATCCGGACTTTTTGAAGTGCATATTGGTGACAGACGAATCTACGTTCACGCGTAATGGGGTGAATAACTTTCGCAACACTCATGTTTGGTCAGTAGAAAATCCGCACGCTGTCCGTCGGGCAAACAAACATTTTCGGTGAATGTTTGGGCTGGCAAGGTGCGTCTGCTCGGTAGCGCATCAGCTGATTTCATTTTCTGTTGGAGCGGTATGATTTCGGGCAGAGACGTACTTAGCCCTTCTCGTCAAATGGAGAGTAGGTAGTTTTTCCTTTATTTTTTTTACTTAGTCGCCCTCGTTTCACTACACATTACCTTTGTTATTTCAAGAGTAGTTGTTTCTGAAAAGGAAAACCCCAACTTTGCGGACACCCTGTATAGGTGATTTTTGGTATATCAACTCCTTTTGACGAATCCTATACACAGTTAAAATTATTGACTCAACTTTGGAAACACCCTGTATATTGCTTCAAAGATAAACTTCAAATCTAATCTTATTAAACATTTGTAAACGGTCCTTACTGAAGCACAGCTGGTTACTGCTTACTATGCTCAAATTGAGACACGACTGATTTTGCACTGTGCTTCTGGGGTTTGTACACAAATGTCCAGCAACTATTTTTAGCCCAGAAAGGAATGGTTAGATGTATGATAGGAGTCAGTAGTAGGGATTCTTGTAAGTATATTTTTAAGCGTCTTACGGTTTTAACTTCACCATCTTTATTTTTATACGAAATAGCGCCATCTGTTGAGAACAAAAATTAAAACCGTTCTATTGTCTAACTTGCAAAATTATTATTAATTTAATTGGAAAAATTGAACACATTACGTTAGGTTAAAGTTAGTTGTCTTTTAAATAAATTGGTGCATTTCTTTTTTTGGAATCGAGTGTTTTAATCCACACCCAAAAGAACTCCGACAAGCGCTGCAATACTTTCATTCACAAAAATAGGTTTTTAAGCAATTTTAGCTCGTACTCGACCAGGGAAGCTAAATGTGGGTTTTCTCAAGTATGAGATCTGCGTACTAGGTACACGAATTTTCAATAGGCTATCAAATCATATTAAAGAGTATGGAAATATACATATACTAAGTGACATATAAATCCGAACACCCAGTTTAAATGGTTTAATTTTAATAAAATTTTGTATAAGTACTTAATGAAGCATAATAAGTAAATGATAAAAATTTCAAAATGATTGCACTGCTTTAAAGCCCTTTGACCTTTAATAATGTGTGGATGCACCCTGATGTGCTACGCATTCTCCAACGCGCCTAGGCATGCTTCTGATCAGGTGGTCAATGTCCTCCTGTGGTATCTCATTCCAGGCAACCACCAACTATTCTCGAAGTGCTTCTAGAGTCTGAGGAGGACGTTGCAAATTGAGCAATCTCCTACCCATCATATCCCACACGTACTCAATTGGGGATAAGTCGGGAGATCTTGGTGGCCAATGGTAACAATGTGACATCATTATGTTGAAAGAAGTCTATTGTGACTCTTGCAACATGTGGTCGGGCATTATCTTGTTGGAAAGTTGGATCTGCCAGGGTGTCAAGATAGGGTAAAAGATGGGGTTCTAGAACTTCGTGGATATAACGCTGCGCGTTCATGTTACCTCTGATGAAGATTAAAGGTGACCTGGAACCATAAGCTATAGCACCCCAAACCATAACTCCAACAGTGTGATGAACATGTCTTTCAACAAAAAACTGTGGATTCCTCCTTTCACCACGTCGCCTTCTAGCCCTGGCACGACCATCGTGCATGCCTAAACAAAATCGAGACTCGTCACTAAAGACAATACTGTTCCATTCCTGATCCCAGAGTGACCGTTGTCTGCACCACTCAAGGCGATTACGTCGGTGTTCTCGAGTTAAAGGGAGGACCCAGTGTGGCCGGTATGAAAACAAGACAAAACTTCTCATTCGTCGGTAAACACTTCGCATGCCAATAGGTCTTCCGTGTTCTGCAAACCATTCATTTGCAATGGACCTGGTAGTGGAGAAACGGTCCCTGAAGGGTCAACGGTCTGTTGTTCTACGGCGGCGTCCAGTGCCCCTTGCTCTTTGCGTACGGCCTTCTCGAAGCCATGCCTGACAACACCTAACCACAGTGTCTACACTTCTTTGCACTCTAACTGCAATTGCCCCAAAAGAAAGTCCAGCTTCCCGAAGTCCCACTATCCGGCCCCTATCAAGCTCACTAAGTTGACGAAATCGTACAGGTCTCCGTACTCTAGGCATCGTAACCGATCGTAAAGGATGTCAAGAACCAAAATCCGCCAACGTTGATTCTTTACTGCGGCTGAAATATTCATTTTTAGAGCGTTAGTGAATTAAAAAAAGCAGTATAAAAACCGGAATGTCCAACTGATAAGGCTGAAAATTTGTTCACTTGTTATTTACAGTAAGATAAATACATTCACCAACTTTTATTAAAATAAAACCATTTAAACTGGGTGTTCGGATTTATATGTCACTTAGTATAATTTTAAGGCTAAAATTGTAAGTAAATATTATTATGCCGTCTCTGTTATTATTTGTTTGTGTGTTTGTTTTGTGTTTTATACATATATTTATCTTGTGTTGTTTCATTAGTTGTTACTCTGACGAATCTTATACACACATTGTAATGTCCCTCCGGACAACAAAGAATTGGAATTTGAGATAAGCCCAACTCATTTACACTGAAAATAGGAATTGTGAAAAAACAAGTGAGATTAGGGACAAACCAAACCTCACGACATTCCACCAGGGACGGAGGGAGTTGGCTAGAAAATTGCGAAAAGTGCTCTAATTAATGCACGCCGCCTTACATATTTTAATTTCCTCACACAACTTCTGTACATAACACGGCGCCAATGACAAGTACATCTACAGAAATAGTCCATCCAGACCATGGGAACTGAATAAGATTCGGCTTAGAGTCGCGTCGAGTCTGTTCGGATGCCAAGCGTTCCGTGGCGTCTGCTGGCGAAAAAGAAAAAAGCGCAAGCTGCTTGCGAGCCATAATTCAAACCAGGGAGCCATACGTTCGTGTCTATTATTTTTCATTGTTCGTACTATGTTTACACGCGAAGGCTTTCCATTTATAATTTTTGCGCTGCGAGACGGCGCATGAAAGTGAATGAAGACATGAAACGGCTACTGATTCGGCGAGAGTCGGCAAGCAGGAAAAAGTAAAAAATATGACATGTTATACAGAGTGTGGCAAAAATAACTGGGCAGTTTCAAAAAGTTATAAAAATGGCGTCCAGTAGGTTGACTCTGCATTTCGTACGCAACGCTGTCATCAGTTCATAAAGGATTACGTTCGGCACAAGTTAGTCCTCCCTTCTGAGCTAGCTAGCTTCACACATGTATAGCAAAAAATTTTTTCGAGTCAGCTAAATAGGCTAATACAGTTAGTACATGCTCCACAGTCCTCTCCCATTTGATAACGCTAATGCTAGTTTCTTCCCCGTCCTAATAGCGACCATCGGGCAACAATGCTGAACCACACCAATCAACCATGCCGTAAGCGCCAACCAAGATACTACTCGAGATCGAGAACGCCCGCGATGCAGTCAGACGCACCCATAGCGTAATGGTTGCCATCGCCCCGACCGATCGCGTTTCGCGTCTGTAACTGTTTCTGTTTTCCTAACAAATGTAGGGGGAATCTATGATGTGAGGAAGATGTACTAATAATAGGTGCATAAAATTACCGGGGTTGGAATCGAATAAACCGTATACTCCGGAATTGAAAACACTTTTTTTCACCAGCGTGTGGAAAGTACTCA